GGGAGATTTGCAGATTGAAGTGCCTGTTTTTAGTTGGCTTTTTACTTCTTCTTCTCTACATCTTCGTTCCTCTCTCTTTCTCTCTCTTCTGATCGACTTTTGAGGAATATTAGCGTATCAGTGGCCAACGCAACACATTGGCACATGTCGGGGATGATTTATACTGTTCTAATTCAAATTCTATCCACACTCTTGATTCTTCCATCTTCCGTTAAACGACATTCCTCTATAACTAAACGTATTTTCTCATGTGTCTGTAGCAACAGCGGCGAAACACTTTCAACAGATTCGAGGTTCAACAGCTGCCGGGATACATGGTGTCTTACCAATTCTCCTAACATCGTATTGTTTTCAGTTAGCCGCGGCCTTCACACATCCTCTTAAATTGTCCTTCATGGAGTTTAAGATTCCGTATAATTGGCGTTCAGTAGGAATCACTCTCATCCCCAAAGAAACCTCCAATTTAGGTCCCAAACCATTACTTCGAATTGCTTGCACTTCTGCGCTACTGAAAATTTTGAAACGATTTACGAGCTCTTTTCCTCAAATTCTGCTCATCCCTTAAAATGTGCATTTTAGGTCCGGTGTAGTACCCTCGGCCTGGTTGTTCGAGTAGTATGTTCCGCTCAAAGAGCTTTAGATAATGAGGTGGTGTGTTTACGCATGTGCATTTATTGGCTTTTTCGCAGCCCCTAATACTATTCCAATGCATGTCCTCCATTAACAGAACGCTTGCAGGCCACTCTCCCAGCTGGGTTGTCTCATGGCTTGGAGATTATTACACTTCCCGCAATTTGTCCACTGAAGCAAGCGAAAATCTACTGTCATTCAAGTGTCTGTCGTATCCCCTCACCTCTTCTATCATCATACTGACACCCTAACATCATCAAAAGACTGTTTTTTATGCTGAGTATGCTGATGCTATGGTTGTTGGTCATCTCCTTAGAAAGTAGACGCATCTACAGGTTCTGAAATTAGATCTGGACCACATCTCAGTGTAGTAGTTGGCAAATGGTCTGGATGATCAGGAATCAGTCAAGTGCGTTTCCCGATTGCAATCTTCTTCTAGTCCTGCATCCTTAGCCATCCTGCCCAACGAAGTATCCTCTTTCTAGTACTCTGGTGTTACTCTGATATCGAATCTTTCAATTTTCCTTCAAATTGAAACCCCTTTTCCTTAAAATTCGTAAACTGTTATACTATATTCGTCGTCTTGGTTCCTAACCCCTAATATAGCAATTTATAAATGCCTTTTTTATCCTCATTCTCCACTGCACTCAGATTATAGTTTCGGTCTAGCTTCAAAAAGATACTTCGACTGCTCTCTTCAGCTGCCGATTTTTCTTGTGCTTTCTAGCATTTTACCGATCGAATTATTTATGAGGTTGTCGATCCCTTTCACATTGAACTAATGGTTGCGAAATCTCCCCGTACTATACATCGAGACTTACGAAATATGTTCTGCCGTTAACTGACATATCAGCATTCTGTACTGCCATTTCTAGCGATCAAACTCGCATATAAAGGAACTCAAATACAAAAGCTGGGATTGGACGTATCTCTAATAGAGATGTGTCTTTTATTTAAACCTATTAATTTTTGCGTACTTTTGTTAATTTCTGCCGTGGTCTCAGTACCTGGAGCCACTTTTTGCTGAAAGTTTTGGATGCGACCTTTAAAATAAAACTTTAAAATAAAACGCACTCCTCTATGTCTTTCTCTGTAAAATGTATAATCTTACGGCATTATTTCGTGATATAGCGTGCGCGCCAGAATGTTTGTTTTTGTAGCCGCAAGCAAAGGACACACATAGTAAAAACGACGATTTAAGTGTCATGCATTGCTATACTGATATTCGTTGCTCTTATAAATCAAAACACATTTTTTTAGAAAACCTGATTATAGTGTTATTTTGTACTGATTTAGTAAAAAAAATCGCCTCAACTTCCAATTTTATTTGCAAAGTAAGCAGATTTTCGGATTTAAAGTGTTTCAAAATCCGGAATACTTATCAACGCGATCGACTGTTGCATTTGCGTTGGAGGATTTCAGTCTGCAAGCCAGGTACTTTTTCTGTAAGGAAAATAATATAATCCTCTAAGCCATTTATGCCCTACCATAACGGGCATGAGCTGTGTTATTGTTTTTGAGCAGTCTTTTTCTAAAAACAAACTGACTGTCAAAGCAAGTCAATGTGCAAGGTGAATAAATGCAACATTAGTTGGCGTCGAAGGTATGATCTTACTGAACTTCCGAAATAGTAATGTTCCTAAAGCGTAGTCGAAACTAGAAATCAAGAAATACAGGCAGTTTTGTTCTGCTACTCAGAAAACTAAAGCAGACAGAACGTCAAACGTAATTTCTGCAGCGGAGACTGTACTCGCCCATCTGCACCGACAAGTGACTGTGTCAAGCAGCGACAGTTAAGCTTGTGCAACTCTTCGATTCTGGCCTCGGCGATCACATTCTGCAAAGAAAAACGGTTGTTTCCCCTCGAAAGAGGACTACGTAGTTCAGATCAGAGCAATTTCCTGAAGCATGAAATTAATGGCATACATACCACTCACCAAGGCTAAAAGTTAGTTGCTGAAGCAGGTTCAAAACGTGCAAAACTTAGTAGACTTGACTCGAGAAACAAACCAGGACAAAGTTTTGAAATAGTGTGTATTGGTTAGATACAGCCCAACCTTTAGATAATACGCTTGGGTAGTCAATGTTGTTACTAGGATCCAAGGCAGGTGGCATTAACAAGGAGGGGCCGTAATGGGGGGGGGAATTTGACCCTCGTTGATGAACATTCACTGATTGGTCACGGAACTTACTTATCCTACTTTGCGTTGGGGCTCATAGATAAGCCCCTCTAGCAGTCGCACGGCGACTTGTAGATTGAGCAACAAAACAAGCATTTTACTCTTCTAACTTTCAAAATCTGTCTCGGTTCATGGATCCGCGACGGATTTCGAAACGTCAGACGAATTTAGTGCTTGCATTAACGATCACATGTGTTCCTCTCAATTACCTCCTGGCACTCACATTTCGCTTCTATTAGGTAACGAGTGGTAATATTCGCGATCATAACCGGCAAGACAACGAGACTGTGACTCAATGGCTAGATATCTGGACTTCTGATCAAAAAGTTTCCAATGTCCTTGTCGGTAAGATAGTTGTGCTTACATCGATAGCCACCTTGTGATTTCTGGCGAGGGTTTAGAATAAGCCCCAACGCACTGGACGAGCTGGAAGATTGAGCTCCGTTAAGGATTGTTGAACTTTCATCAGCGACTGTGAACATTCCTGAACTAAACCGGCAAGACAATGAGCCCGTGACTCAGTGGTTAGAACGTCAATACCTGATACGAAGTTTGCGGATTGGAGCCTCGGGTGGGGCCTCACTTGGGGTTGGGTATCCCTCACTGATGCCGGCTAGTGAGCCAGAAATGGCCAAGCCAGTCTCCCTTGTCTTTGCCAGTAATGCTTATCTGCCTAAACTACTAGCCGACGTGCAGCTGCTGGCAGGGCTTTGGCATGATCCCGATGGCAGAGCAGGGCGAATGAGTTCCGTTCGAGTTCGGTGAACGTTCATCAACGAATGGCAGTCCTATTGCAGACGGCATAATGACAGCCTGCAATGGCCCATTCTTAATATGGCCCCACTGCCACTTCCACTCACTTGGGGTCCGCACGCCCCTCTCCCTAACTGTTCT